CGTCAGTCACAGGCTCTCGTCGAAGGTGTGCGCTGGATGTGCGCAGGGATTGGAGTGCGTCGGGCCCGGCGTGCTCCAATCACAATCTTCAGGGGCGGACCAGGAGATGGCATCCGATGACCTCAGGGCAACCCCACAGCTCATTTACATATCACACAGATTAACATAGTTAAGACGACCAGGAAGGCAGCAGCCGTAACAGAAGGTATACATTACAATCAAAGCACCACCGTCTTTCCTTAAATTATATACAACACTACAAAGACTTCAAAGACCAGGAGCCGCTGAGGGTGTCACCCCCCAAAAGCCTGCAGGGTGGAGGAATATCCACAACTGTAAAGCCTGCTTAAATAAAACAAATGTGGACAATATCAGAGGGATTGTGAAATATGATGACTCTAACATCTATCTTATATTGCCGTGAAAAATGTCCTTTAAATAATTGGGTCTATTCAAGATTACAACAGATCATGATAACGTTAATGTACATTCGCCCACTACTCGTACTTTTTACTAAATAAATAATTGAAACCATCATTATGTAACTCAAAAGAAACCTCGTATATGAGCAGGTTACCATTGAAAAAGAGGTCAATGATCTCAATGGGTTTTCACCTGAATAAATAAAGGTTTTGAATTGAATTGAATTGAAAGACAAGTATATATCACCACTTGAGTTTTGGCCTGAACTTGGCAACAAGGCATTTGTTATGGTGGCGTCACATATCCAAAAATGCTCAAAAAATGCTGATTGAAAGGCACTTTTTGCAAATACAAGGATGCAACTCACTGACAGTTTTACGTCTCTTCCACACAAAAAAACATTGTGACTCAGGAGTTTTTTTTCACAGAGCAACGTCCAGGAACTAGAGAATGCAATTCCTGAAGAAATTGCTTGTGGGAATGCTTTATGCTGAAAAGCTGACGCTGAATTGCTATGCTGAAATGTAATGTGTAAGAAGAAAGTGAAGAATTTAATTTAGATTGAAATGATACATGAACACTGGGGGCTTGAATGTGGGATGAGAGAAGAAAAGAAAGTAAAAAGGCTTGGAAAAGCAGCAGAATATTTGAACTGCAAACTTTTGAACTTACTTGATGGCGAATGATCTGTCGCCATGGCAACGGCATTTGATGACCCTCCATAATACGCTTAGATGTGTTGATGGCTGCATCGTTACCAAACTTGTGAAGTTTTGGGACATTTCGAGCATTTGTACTGAAGTTGTGAGAAAACCGTGTTTCATAGTGAGCATTGTGTTGCCAAGGCAACGGCATTTGAATAAATCTTAAAATTGTCAAATAGATGTCTTCACGGCTGGATTGTTAGCACATGTGAAGTTTGAGCACTTTATGAACATTTTAATAGGAGTTATAGCAATATCATGTTTTACGGGGAGGGATGCGTTGCCATGGCAACAGCTTTTGAGG